GAACGTGTCAAAGATTTGAGAAAGTGATGTCTCTGAACAATAGGCTTTTCTCTTCTCTGTTTTCTTACTTTTGCTACTTTGCTTTCTTCCTCTTTTTTCTTTTCGTACACTAGCCATACACATGTCTGAACACAATGATTGACATCCGATGATCAATTGCAAAATTCAACGGTTAATAACCAACAATCAAAATTTTTGAAAATTTCATTTTCCATATAATATAATAAATTAATACAATATAAATAATAAAATAAATGGTCATAACGTGTACTGTTCAGGTCATACATCCAATAAGCCTAAAATAATTTTAAATAATTTTTTTTAACTTATATTTCTTTACACATATATATGTTGGAAATAAATAAAATAAATATATACTATATTTTGAAATATATATTAAATACAACAATGTCTTCATAACCATCTTATGAGTTNTACACATATATATGTTAGAAATAAATAAAATAAATATATACTATATTTTGAAATATATATTAAATACAACAATGTCTTCATAACCATCTTATGAGTTAGCCATAAACTGCCTTCAACTGATTGTTTGGTCATCTATTGCCACACTTGTCTATCCATAACTGCTACTTTGTCAATGTCATTGCGCCAAGTATGTACAACAGATTGCTTGGTCCTCAATGCATGCAAAGACACCCTTGCTAACTCCATATTGGTAGACTCCAAGTGTGCAATCCGTGCCCATGATGTAATGCCTCCCTCAACTATGTGTGGAGGCTTCCATAGTGGCAGGTCCCACATTTTCTACGGGTTCTAAGTGTCATGCCTTGCATCAATCCGTTGTAAGGGTGTGACTATTCTCGTCCTTTAAATCTCATTTATCATCTTATTTAATTATTTTATTCAAAATTATTAAATTCACCTCACCTATATTCACCTCATTACTTATTAAACACACTCCATCTGTATTCACTAATTAAAAATTAAATTCATTCAATTTTATTTCAACATACTATATAGGCAATGATCAAAATTTTATTTTATTGTATTATTTCGGTTCAAAAATATTTTAGAAGCATAATAAAAATTAATAATTATTTTTAAAATATTAGTTAAATTATGTCAAAATATCTTAAAACACCTCAAAATATTCTAAAGACATTAGTGATACTATATTAAAATATCTCGAAATAATAAAATCACATCGAAACATTAAAATTTCGCTTCAATTACTATTTTTGTTTCGATTTCTTTAACATATATTTAATAGTTTAATTGAATAAGTATAAATAAGATTAACTTAATAACTAATGAGATGTGTCTAAATAGGATAAACTTAATAATTTAAAATAAAATAATTAAATAGTATGAAAAAAGAGATTTAAGGGGTGTCAACAACCTCACCCTACTTTTATTTAAGGGTTGCCATGATAAAGTAAACTAGGGAACCCATCCACTATAATAGCATTTAGAAAAAATTAAAATGCCAAACCAGTGCCTTAGTTTCACTGCACAATCACCCTGCCAGTATCTTCATCAACGACACAATCATAAACCGTTCAGTAACCAAACCACCCGATCACTACTTGATATGCTTCAAATACCTAGAGATTGACTTCAATACGTTTGTAACCACTACTAATACACGTTACACGAGAATAANAGGCTTCCATAGTGGCAGGTCCCACATTTTCTACGGGTTCTAAGTGTCATGCCTTGCCTCAATCCGTTGTAAGGGTGTGACTATTCTCGTCCTTTAAATCTCATTTATCATCTTATTTAATTATTTTATTTAAAATTATTAAATTCACCTCATCTATATTCACCTCATTACTTATTAAACACACTCCATTTGTATTCACTAATTAAAAATTAAATTCATTCAATTTTATTTCAACATACTATATAGGCAATGATCAAAATTTTATTTCATTGTATTATTTCGGTTCAAAAATATTTTAGAAGCATAATAGAAATTAATAATTATTTTTAAAATATTAGTTAAATTATGTCAAAATATCTTAAAACATCTCAAAATATTCTAAAGACATTAGTGATACTATATTAAAATATATATTATATATATATTTTTATTTTTTATATATAAAAATTAATAAAACATATTAAATATATATTACATTACTCATATTCTATTATAAGATTATGAAAATTTTGTATATTCTCAAAATTCTTTGTTTTAACTATTAAAAACATAAAAAAAAATAGCTAAAGTTCTATTTTTTTAAAATTTTATGATTGAGATTGATATTTTTGGTAATGTTTGAAATATTAAATTTTTTGAAATTCATTTGATTATGATTCCACTTATAATTTCTTGAATAAAATAAAAGTAATTATCAATGTATCTTAATCACATTGAAATCTTACTATAATTAGGAATTAGTTAGGTCAATTAGGATAAGATTTAATATACTACTCTATAATATATATTATCAAGTATATTAAAATTCTAAAAAATTCAAATTTTACTTAAAAATACACTACAATATCTATTTTTACATCAAATCTTAGAACAACTTAGAAAGTTTATTATGATCGAAGAATTATATTGATGTAACATAAATTAATTTTAAAAAAATTATATATACTATTATTTTTTATCTTAGAAATGAAAGAATTAAATTTTTTGATGAAAAAAAAAAAAATATATATATATNGATCGAAGAATTATATTGATGTAACATAAATTAATTTTAAAAAAATTATATATACTATTATTTTTTATCTTAGAAATGAAAGAATTAAATTTTTTGATGAAAAAAAAAAATATATATATATATATAAAGGCATGATGTTATATTTGCATAAAAGATAAATAATATTAGATTCATAGAATTTTTGAAAATTTTTGAACACTTTATTGAAAATATAATGATACATATTTTTTAAGGGCAATATAATCAATCAATTTTTTTTACAAAAATCAATATTTATACATAAAAAATAAATAATTAAAAGAGATGTTATATATAATTTGAATATTTAAATACATAAAAAAATGATAATTATTTAGACATTTAATTCTGAAAAGATAAAATAGTTTTTGTAATATTTTATAAAGGTAAAATAGAGATTTTAAAAAAATTAATATTAAAATATTTTTATTAATGGTAAAGATAGATATAGATTTTAAGAGTTGGGTGGGAAACACATACTTTGACCTTAGTAGAAGAGTCGTAGACGCAATAGGGCAGGTCCACTTTCTGGGATTTTATCAATCGCACGATTGTTTGTCAAATGGCGACAGATAGCATAATATCAAAGTAAACAACCTCCCACCCCCAACCCACCAAAAAAAAAAAAAAAGGGTGAATTACATTTTATACTTGAAAATTTAAGAATTTTTAATTTGTACTTTAATAGTTTAAATTTTTTACACTATATCTTTAATGTATTAATAGTATTATAATGTGTTTTTTCTATTAGCTANATTGTTTGTCAAATGGCGACAGATAGCATAATATCAAAGTAAACAACCTCCCACCCCCAACCCACCAAAAAAAAAAAAAAGGTGAATTACATTTTATACTTGAAAAATTTAAGAATTTTTAATTTGTACTTTAAAAGTTTAAATTTTTTACCCTATATCTTTAATGTATTAATAGTATTATAATGTGTTTTTTCTATTAGCTTTCGTTGCTTGTTTTGTCAACGTTAATGGATCACATTATAATATTTTTAAAATATTGAGGGTAAATTATGAAAAATTTAATTTTTAAAAGGTTATAAAGTGAGAACTTTTAAATCTTTTGTGGTATAAAGTGTGATTCCCCCAAATAAAAACGCTCGTGCTTTAAGTTGTGCACTTTAGAGAGAGCGAGAGGTGCCTGCCTGGTTGCCTATCTGTTGTGCCCGCTTTTGCGATCCCCCTCGTGCACTCCTACGNTGTGCACTTTAGAGAGAGCGAGAGGTGCCTGCCTGGTTGCCTATCTGTTGTGCCCGCTTTTGCGATCCCCCTCATGCACTCCAACAAACATAAAAAAAGCCTGTGCAAGACAGAGAATAGAGAGGGGGAAAAACTAGGTAATATACAACTCATTGAATTTCGGTAGGTGTTGGTCTTACCGTTGCTATTCTTGATTTTGGCTTCACTTCCAGTTTTTTGTCCTAAGATTATTATTCAATTTGAGCTATTCATTTCCTGCATCTCTTCCATTCTATTCTTGTATCTTCTCCATCTTGCTGTTTTGTTAGGATTCTTGATTTTGCCTTTTTGTTTGTTTTGTTTCATCGGAATTGATCCAATTGTATCGAGACGAACCGATTGGTTTCTGGGTTTTGTTTTTATATTCTTATTGTTTGCTTTTTTTTTTTTTTTTTTTGTGTATTGTGGTCTTGGAGTTTTGTGTTTTTTTAATGGACTATCGTCGGCGTGGTTTAGTGGTAAGTATTTGTGGGATTCTCTAATTTTGTCGTGAGATTCTTTCTTTTATTCTGTTCTTTGTAATTTAATTTGGGTGTAATTGTATGTATGTGAACGCAAAAGGAAGTGGTTTCAGATAGTTTTGTCACCTAGCTAGGTTTGCAGTTTTATAAAGGTGAAGATTTCTGTTGGAAAACAATTGTATTTTGTTTAGTTCCTGCGAGATTGTGTGTGTGTGTATTTTTCACAGGAAACTGTATTTTTTCAAGGCATCTAGTGTGGTTTAAATGATCTTCTGATATATAATGTTTTTTAACTATAAGTGTCCTAATCTTGATAGTTAATGTGTTTGTCCCTTTTTGTGCTAGAGCTAGCTAGTGCATCTGATATGGGGTAAAAAAAAATAAAATACAGGCATACAGATAGTAAAAGCCTTGAAATGGTTCTTACATTTGCTTGGTGTGCATTTTGAACATACACTATTATAATTTAGCCCCATTTGAATCGCCCCTTTTGCTTTATAAGTGATGATGTCAAAAAGGGAGATAGTATTGGAATTTATAGTCTATGATTTATGGAATTATGATTTAAAGCATCTTAAAGCACCATTTTGAGCTGTGCCCCAAATTTGAATGTAATCTCACAGGCACAGGCACAGGCACAGGCACAGGCACCTCCTCCTGGTTACTTTGAGGAAGATCTTTATTTGAGAAAGAAAGCAAGTATGCGTAGGTGGCTCTGTTGTACTTGTCAGGTAGAAGAGTCCAACCCACCAAATGACAGTAACATCCTCAAAAGTCCGAGAAATCATGCAGACGGTATGCTGCCTTCACCTCTATTTTTAAACTTTGTCCCCTGTTTTTTTCTGCTTCATGAAGCTGGTTTGGTTCATTGGAACTTGATAATCTGGATTTTTGTAATGGTCACACCTGTTGTAATAAGAAAAAGCTTTAAAAGTTTGGATAGCAATCTGCAACATTGCATATGATCTAACCATGCAATAGGCAAGATGTTTTGGAGGAGTGTGCTGGTGAATTATAGCATGGACTTTGGGAATAGAGTTTTTAAGTTTTGCTTCTTTCATGAATTTGGAAAGAACCTTTCAAGTCTTTTGGATGACTATAACCTTCATTTGGGTTTTTTGAACCTAGAAAAAGTATTAACTTATTAGTCTGTGGAAATTTGAAAATACATACTTCTTGCTTTGATTCTGGTGACTGAGCTGTGCTTGGTCATGTTTTGGAACAACTTAGGAAGTAACTAGTTTATATCCAAATCTGAGGTTTGAAAAATTAAATGTTCTGTACTTCTATTGTTATTATACCCAAGGATCAAAATTTTGTTTTGGTGTATTATTTTGGTCACCATAGTTGTTAAATCTAGGGTTACCTGGATCGCGGGTCGATTGGGTACGTGGTATGGGTACAGGTGCGGGGTACGTTACTTTTTGCGGTACGTGGTGCGGTGGGGGTAACTTAGCTGGTACGCTAATTTGGGTCGCAGTTCGCTTTGAACTATTATTTGGATCGTTTTCATTATTACAAAGAATTATATAAATATATACATTATAAAATGCAAATCAAGACCAACAACAACACATCAACTAATAATCATGTATAAAAAAGTGATGATTGCATATTTATTATCAATAAAAGACAACATATAAAGTTAAAGACTTAAAATTTAAAAAATAACGTACTAGAGAGCAATTAAATAGTTTCTTACTTGAAACACAAATCAAAATAACACTCTTAAACATCTAACAAGTCTCAAATAAAAATTACTTAATAATAAGAAAAAATTGGAGCACATGAGTTAATTGTCAACTCTTTTCCCTTTATCTTTCGCAGTGTTTCCTCCTCTTGCAAAGTTACTAATTTGAGTCTGATGCAGTCTGGAATGATGGAGCGGTGGCCTGCTAGAACTAGTAGGGGGCTTCTTAAAAGACGGGCATAGAAGCATGTAAGGATGAAGTTTCCCGATCTTCGTCTCCAGCAATGGTAGAACTATCTGTATTGTCATCCTCCAAGAATTTTCATCGCAAATTCTCCAATCTCATATTAGAATCATCTATATATGTGTGTTCTGGATTTATATCCCATTTCTTAAAAGGGTCATCTTTATAGCTTTCATTGAAACATGATTGGAGACGAATATTTGAATAGATGAAAACTAATTTGTCGGCTTTGGTAGAATTCAATCTATTTCTCTTGACATTGTGAATAAATGAATACGTGCTCCAATTTCTTTCAGCTGAAGAACTTATAATTGGTTGTGATAACACCTTTTATGAAAAAAATAATAAGACACATTAATAATGATAATTAACAATAAAAATAAATAACTTGTTATTTAAATTAGTACCTTTTTTGCTATTTCTGCTAATTCTGGAGTTTTTGAACCATATGTCGACCACCAATCAATAGCATCCATGGTCACAACATCTGTTTGAGCCGCCGCTATAGCATAAAGATCCTTTCGTGAGTGAAAATGTACATACTGTTCTCGCAATTGTTTTGCTTCTTCTACATCTTTTGCTATTTTTTACAAAAGCTTCCATAACACCTATGATGACCTCTCTATCTTGATTTGGAATTTTCCTAACTGTACCTCCTAGTGCTAGTTTAGTAAGATATTGAGTATCATAAAACCGTGGTGTTAGTGCAAACCCAAGACAATACGAAGGAGTATTCATCTTCTCCCATTTGTCAAGCACAATTTTTTCAATTTGGGGAAATTTATTAACATGTTTTCTACCCCTCATAATATCTTTTATTTCACCAAGCACGTTGTCCATCTTTTCATAAATCTCACCCATTTTTTGACATTCCCTATCACAAAATTTAATAAGAAAAAATATAGGCTTTGTAATACTTATGATATTCTCCACATCCTCCCAAAATTCTTCACTAATAACAGTTTCTGTAACCAAAGCACCTAATTTCTTTGTGTGTTCATCCCCAAATTTCACCAATTCTTTCTGTGACTTGAGAGCAATGGTAGTTGCAAGGGACTCTCTACAGTCAACAAGTCGCTTTAACAAAATATAATGCGATGCAAACCTGGTCTTAGCCACTTTTAATAACTTCAATTTAGACTAAGCTTTAAACATAGCCAAAGCATATGTATGATTCAAGAAATATTTAACAATAGACTTTTTCCTTCTATAAGTATTTCTAAACCACTCAAATTCTTTTGCAAAGTCTTTAAAAATTAGATTCAGAGTATAAACAACACAAGGAGACCAAAATATATGTTTGTGTACCTTTTGCACCTCTTTTCTTGCAAGTTTGCAATTTGCTGCGTTATCGGTCACTATTTGAATGACATTTAGTAGACCTCCTTCTTCAATGGGTTTCAACAAAAAAATCAACAATTGTTTTGCCTGTTTTCTCTATCCCTGAAAAATTCTCAACATATAAAAACATAGCTCCACGACTATTTGCAGCAATGATATTAATAAGTGGTTGATGCTTCACTTTAGTCCACCCGTCTGATACAATGGATACCCCATTAGAATACCATGTATCTTTAACAGGAATCAAATCTTTTTCAACACTTCTTTTGCACTCATCCAATAATGTAATTCTTGCTTTTACATAGCTGGGAGCCTTGTAACCTTTAGGTCCCCTATTTATAGCTGAAATTATTTCATTGAATTGAGGATTTCGCAACACATTGAATGAGATTCTATTAGCACATAATCCTCTCATGACCTTCAAGTCAACCATGTCTCGATCCATTATTTTGAATGCATCTTCAATTGATCCCGTCGTCGGTGAAGGTTGTCGCTTTATCAATGTAGAATTTTTCAGGGATGAAGAAACTCCAATTTTTTCTGCCTTTTGTACTATTTCTCACAATTTTGCATATTCAGTCAAATTATTCATCAACCCTTAATACCGTTTAATTTTTGCTTTTTTTCCGGGTGGGGCACCAAAAAAATGGTAATGCATTCGAGTATAGGAACTTGTAAATTTACCACTACAATGCTTACGTGACCAACCCTTTGATCCCCCTAGATTTTTTCCTTGAGTTATACCAATAAGATTGACTTCATTGAGTAGTAGTTTCAATTTTACATCAATTTGTAATTGATCTTTCTGTGTGCGATTTTTTTGTGGTTGCCTAGTGTTATCTTCTTCTGTTACTTCAATATATTCAACTTCTTGTTCATCATCATAATCATCTAAATTCTGAATTGTTCTTCAATTTGTAAAGAGTCTTGTTCTTCCCTTCTCTTTTTTTCAAAAATTATTTTTTTAAGTAACAAAAATTCAATACAGTAGAGAAATATTGAATGAACAATGTGGACAGAAAGGGAGAGAAAAAAGAGAGAGGTGGTATAGTGTATTTAGGGTAAAAATCAAGAAAAAAAATATATATATATGCTGCCCTAGTTGCGTACAACAGTGTAGTCGTACAATAAAACAGCTGCCTTGGTTAGACTTATTAGTATTTTTACATTTTTATCTAAATTGTGTGGTAACATGTATTGTTAAATAAAAGGGCTTTTTTTGTTTTTATACCAAAAAAACGATTAGAGTGTTGGTTCTTCTAGACAAGAGAGAGAGAGAGAGAAAGAGAACGAGAGAAAGAGAGACCTACGGGAAGAACGAAACCCACGTCGAAGCAAAGAGAGAGAGAGAAGAGAAGGAGAAGGAGAAGGAGATCGCTCGATCTGCGAAATCGACGAAGAGAGAGATAGAGATCTACGATGGGAACCACACTAGTCTTCATCTAAGAGATGCAAAGTTGACGAAGAGAGAGAGGGAGGAGATCGATTGATCGATGCAAACGAAAACGGTCCATAGCACTTCCAGGTAGGTATTTCATCTGTTATCTTCAAACATTATATGTTGAGTTTTTTGTTATTTTTTATTTTTTGGGGAATTTTGGAACAAATTTGGGGTAGTATTGAGTTTGACATATTGATTTGGGGTGGTTAATTCCTAGTTAGGGCAAAAAAATTGGGGACGCTGGTTTTGCCGATCCAGGTCACGAATGACCCACGTTTGGGGTCGTGCGACCCAGATCGGGGATCTTACGTTTTCAGGTAACAAGATATATCGTTTTTAAAAAATAGTGTATCGTATCGTATATTTAAGAAGCACGAATACAGACACGGACACGGACACACGGACACGCAATTTTCTTAAAAAATAAGACACGGACACGTTAAGGATACGTTGAATAAAATATAATTTTGTATATTTTTGTATGACCAGAAGTTTACACATTTGGCCTATTTCACATTTTAGATACCACAAGTTAAAAGTTTGAACCAAATATATACAACTAAAATATATGAAATACAAGCCCAACAACCCAAATTTGACCTCAATTCAATACAATGTAAATTAGGCCCATTAATTTAAAATTCCAAAAAAGTCTGAAGCCTCTTAGGGAGGTCCACCCACTTTAGATAAGTTGGAGATCTCACACAGTCACACATCAAAAGCAGATCTCACGCCAAAAGCCCCCAATCTCTCTCTCTCTCTCCCCGTCCTCTACAACTTCTCGCCTCTCTTCTCATCTCTCCTTCCAAAAATTTGCGATTTAGTTGCTACACTTCCTCTTTTCCTACCAGAAAAGTAATCTTTTGGGTAGTAATCTTTTGGACGGCTCTTAAACAAATGGGTAATAGCCTCTGTTTATCATCTTCGTCTTTCCTTGCGGTGCAGTTCTTTCCAGCTGTGGGTTTATTTTGTCGACAACGAACCCACGGGTCATGGCCATTGTTCAGCATCTTCGTCTCCTTCATGCAATGGAGTTCTTTATTCGGTATCATCTACCAACGACAAATAATTGAGTATTTTCAATGGATTTTAAATTGCATAAATTTGTTTCAAAACGTGTCTCGAAAAAAATAAAAAAAATTGGACACTCTTTTCTGTGTATCCGACACGTGTCCGTGTTCCAGACATGTTGGACATGGATATGCTAGCCATTTTAACGTGTCGGTGCTTCATATTGTAAGATACACCTAATTTTAATTTTTAAATAATTATTATATATATATATATACACATATATATATATATATGTATATATATATATACTTTTGTAAAAAAGTCATAGACTCATATTAACATAGCATTTCATTAATAATCCACCAACCATTCAAATTTCTAATATGGTTCAGTAATATCAAAATGCAAAGACCTCTAATTCAAATTTCTAACTTTAACTGCTTGAACAATCTTGATATTAATTAGGAATTTTGAATTCAATTGAACAACATTAACAACAAACTTTATTTTTTTTTTTTAAACTATAACCACTGAAACGACGTTATTTCATTGGCTAGTGATTTAAAAATAAGGCCTAGATGTCATTTTAGCCTCAAAAAATCAAAATAAAAAATAAAAAAACCAGATTCGTCGGGCATATTGTACGTGTCGTATTGTGTATCGTACGATACGGTTCAAAAACGATATAGAGATACGATACGTATTATTTTTTTGGTCTATCGTAACGTATCGCACGATACTAATAACTATGTTAGTCACTTAGGAAACGGAAACGTTTCAATGTGCTTTAGAAACATTTCGATCCGTTTCAGAAATATAATGAAAAAATAAAAAATTTAAGAATTATTTTTCTGAAACATTGATTTAAATATATCAAAGTATCTTGAAATATCTTGAAACATTCGGAAACAATTGTGCAAATACATTGAAATATTATAATACATTTCGAAACATTATGAAATATCTCGAAATATTAAAATTTTGATTCCATTACTGATTCGTTTCAGTCTCCGTGGAAACAGAAACGTTTTGAACGATTCAAAACAATATTTTGATCCTTGATTATACTATGATATCATTTTGGCTATACTATTTAGGGCAAATTAAATTCAACTTAGTTTTGTGTTTGTTTCAGATGGTGATTTTTCACACCATATGGGATTTTGAAGTTTCTTGTGGTTCTGTACAGGACTATTTTTCAGTATTGAGAGCTGAACCTTTCCCTTGTTACATGTTGTGTGTTTTTTTATCCAACATTGATTACCTAGTGATTGGTTGAATTAGTATTAAGGAGACAAGGAATTCTTATTATCTTACAGTTTCTTGATAGCAATCTTTTGGATATTCGATTTCCAATGGAGTTTTTATTGTGATATTTTCTTGATAGTTGTCGCTCATACATGCAGATGTTGCCCAATAACTAAGAAGTACCATAAATGTTGGTGACTTCTAAGTGGGGAGTCTCTTCTCGATGCATCTTATGTTCTTTAGTTTTTTTTTTTTGGTAGGTATATGTTCTTTAGTTTATGGTTGGAACTTCTCTATGTTTATTCTTCAAAGTGCACAATAGATATATTATGGAAATAGAAATTGCATTGGGGCTCCTAGAAATGGTCTTTAATGTTCATAGGGGCCATTTTGGTGCTAGTTATAATGAAGGTATTGTGGGTGTAAGGCCATTGAGGTGAGTATACTTGAAAAGGATATCAAAGAAGTATTTTTTTAAATCAGAAAAAGGCCCATAGCAGATATAACTTGGGGCAGGAGCATTCACACACTGAGTTGCAGTGAGGGAAGGGTAGTCGTAGAGACATGCTTTAAGTAGTTCACACGTTTTTTGGTTGAGGTTTAGGAGGCGTTGACTTTCATTCATTGTTCAGTTAAGATAATAAATAAGAACAATCCAATAGAAGATTGTTAAATAATTTGTAGTTTCTTATGAATTATGATATAATGTACTGTTCGGTATCTGGCAGACTGCAATACTTTTATTATCCCTGTGCGTATTGGTAAGTTCAGGACTGGTTCATTAAGGGTTGATTTCTTCTCGTTTTAAGCTCTTAAATTTATTTATTGTGTACATAAACCTCAATTTTGACCTTTAGTGGCAATAAACTTTATTTATATCTGAAAATCAATTTCTTTCTCACTCCCTTCTATCAAAAAAGGAGGCTTGGTCTTGAAATGGTGACTGTCATGTTGTTTATATTTATATTGGATATATTGTCGTTGTATGCTACAAATGAACATATATGTGGAGGCACTTGCATAATGTGCAAAACTACATGGATGACTCCTATTGTATTCTTTCTTCTACAAGTGGAAATTTCCTATCCTATTTAGGATGTGAGAGGAAAACTAGACCCTCCAAATCCCTTGTTCAAGTAAATATATTAAGTATTTTTTATTTAGGTGTCCTACACTGCTGTACTTCCGAGTTTGTATTACCCATATCTTGTGTTATTTATTTGATGCTGTTAATTGCATGTGCAGGCCACCAAAAAGGCTCAAAGGTATCAGCACCAGTCAAATCTGAAGTGCAAAAGGCAATTCCACCGATTGAAGTGCCTACACTGTCTTTGGATGAACTGAAAGAGAAAACTGACAATTTTGGATCAAAGGCATTGATTGGGGAAGGATCATATGGAAGAGTTTATTTGGCAAACCTAGACGATGGAAAAGCTGTGGCAGTGAAAAAGCTTGATGTGTCAGCAGAGCCCGAGTCAAATGCTGAGTTTTTGACTCAGGTCTGAATTTCTTGTAACATATATGTAGCATTGGTGACCTTGTTTTTTTTTTCCTAAGCTTGCAATTGTTTGATTCTTTTATGTCTGATATTTTTGTTATGGTGTCTAACTGTACTGTCCCTTTTGCTCAAGATTTCCATGGTTTCACGACTGAAGCATGAAAATCTTGTCGAGTTGCTTGGTTACTGTGTGGAAGGGAATCTCCGTGTGTTAGCATATGAGTTTGCAACTATGGGATCTCTACATGATGTTTTGCATGGTACAAATCAGTATGCCTTGTGTAATCCACTTGTCAAAAGTTTTCTTCTGTTAACTAATAACTAGGAGATGATATTCTGAGTTATGTTTGCTGTTACAGGTAGGAAGGGAGTGCAGGGGGCGCAGCCAGGTCCTGCACTTGATTGGATACAACGGGTGAGAATTGCTGTTGATGCAGCGAGGGGACTGGAATATTTACATGAGAAGGTCCAATCCTCTGTAATCCACAGAGATATCAGATCTAGCAACGTGCTTCTATTTGAAAATTTTAAAGCCAAGATTGCAGACTTTAACCTTTCAAATCAGGCTCCTGACATGGCTGCTCGCCTTCATTCCACCAGAGTTTTGGGTACTTTTGGTTATCATGCACCAGAGTAATGCTCTTGAAACTCATTTCACTTGTTTTTATTGGGCTGCTATCATTTAGAAAATGAGTTATTCATGTCGGCCCTGGATTTTCTGATAACCCTTTCATGACATACGGTCACACAAGCCCCATAAATTTGCCTTCCAATCAGTTCATTGAGCTGACGTCAGACAATCCCAGTCTTGTTGGCAGATCATAATACAGATGAATTTTGCTTTCAAGCTTCGACTGTCCAATGAAGAAATAATGTGTGTTGTCACTATAAGTTGGGTTTAATCTTCATATGGAGCAAGCTTTGTCAATTCGGGGAATTTTCATTTGCATAAATGTTCCTAACTGTTGTTCTGGTAAGGGGTTTTTGTATGTTTTGATAGTCCTGTGAAAGCGTATTTTGCAATATTTCAGAATCTCTACTAGTAATATTTAGTGGCGAAGCTTCTCTGAATTAAAGTTTTGATGCTATTTTGTAGGGCCTAACAAATTGGGAGTTTGTAATTCATTCAAATTAGCATTAGGACTGAACTGGTTTATGACCTAACTTATCTGTTCTGCCTTTTTGACATTGCTTTGGTATTCGTTTGTGTTAAGAGAGGTATTTCTTACTGTTTTACTTTGCTATTATGCCGCTTTCCTATTATGTTCAAATTTACTAATATTGTAATTGTCTCCAATATCAATCTAATATAAATAGGTCTTAGGATGTAGGCAGTTTTTTATAATCTCTTTCTTCCTCTCTTTTCTTTTCCTAAACCCTAATATTCAATTATTCTATTTTCATATTGGTATCAGATCAAGATACTTGAGTGAGTGGGACCCTAGGTGAGTAGGACCTTTGCCAAGTGCCTCACTTGCCTAGGGGTTGAGCCGGCTCTGCATGCATCAAGTTGTAGTCGTCTTTATGTTTGTCAGCTGTTGTTCTCTGTGTTCAACTCGGTTTAATGCTAGTTCCTTACTTTTCGGCCCAGATTGTTTCTAGTTTAATGGTTTTCCTCTCGTTTCAAGGCTAGTTCAGTGTTTTCAACCCGGTTTAATTGTTTCTACCCCAATTTGATGCTAGTTTAGTGATTTTCATCTTGATTCAGTATCGATTCATTTTGTGTTGGTACAATGGGTTTTGGGATACTTTGGTGCTGGTTTTATAGTTTCTAAGCTCATTTCATTGTCGATTCAGGCGTTTTAAGTTTGAATGAGTGGAGATTTTAGGGTTTTCTGTCTGGTTTAGTATTAGTTTTGTGGTTTTTAGCACTGGTGCAACTCCTTTTTGGCTTATTCAACCTTGATTCTACTTGGTTTTCTCTATTTTCGATTGTTGTGGTGGATTTGTTGTTGCCTATGTTCGTTGTAGTGGTGTTGCTTGTGTTCATTTGTGCTAGTATTGTTGTTGTTCAGCTTTTGTCTTAGACTTCCCGTGGAGGTATAAACCTTTGGCTTGGGCGGTTCTGAGAGACTGAGACACATTGGTCGCGGTGTCGCAAAAAAATTTTTAGATAGAATTCTCAAAAAAATCACAAAAAATAAAAAAATATATAAACAACAAAATTCATACATCATAGCTCATTAAACATACCAAAATAAATTGTAAGGATGTTATTGGAAATATTTGTTATCATCAAAATTAAAAACTATTTTGAATTTAGATATATTATCAATGCTCTAATGTATCTTTGATATTTAATTTTAAGAATTCAAAAATTATATTGCTATATACGTGTGGTTAATGGATAAGTATGTCTAAATGTCATATGTTCAGTTATATATTGAAATTAAAACTTATTATATGTAACTCTTAAATTGATACCTAGTATATAAGTAAAGTATATTATCATAATACATATACAACAAAAATATTGCATCTACCCAAAATATTTAACTATGTTTACCCCATAAAAAAGGAAAAAGAAACCCACCCACCAATGATAGGGCCTTTTGAATATTTTACCAAAAGAGAGAGAGACTTTGATACAGTGGACAAGACGAATTCAGAGAAGAAAATATAACAAGATGACGTTGTGCGTACAAAGTCACAATGTTCAAAAAAATATAAACAACTAAATTCATACATCATCTAGCTCATTAAACATACCAAAATTAAATGTAAGGATGATACCAGAAATATTTGTCGTCATCAAAATTTTAAAAATATTTTTAATTTAAATATGTTATCACCGTACCTTTAATATTTAATTTTAAGAATTCAAAAAAATATGAAAATATTAAAAAAATTATATTGATATATGTGTGGCTAATTGATGTACATGTCTAAATGTCATATGTATAGTTAATATATATTAAAATGAAAAATTATTATATGTAACTCTCAAATAGATACCTAGTATACAAGTAAAGTATTTTATGAGGAGACATGTACAACCAAAATATTGCACCTATCCAAAATATTTACCTATGTTTTACCCCATAAAAAAAGGAAAAAGAAACCCACCCACCACTAACAGTCTTTTGACTCCTTTTACCAATTGAGAGAGAGAGTCTTCGATGTAGTTGGTGAGACAAATTCAGGGAGTCTTCTATACAGTTAGCAAGACGAATTCAGAGAAGAAAAAACGATCCAATGACCTCGGGAGGAAGAAGATGTGGGGACTCCCTGTAATATGTATTCACTTAAATACCTTCAATTTTATAGGTTTGTGTTGCAAATTCATCCAATTTAATCTTCTGTTTGTATAATTTCAAAAAGGGGTGTGATTTAGGGTTTAATACTTGCATAGATTTGGTGAATCTTGGATATGGGTGTCATGTTTTTCTTCCTTCTTTGTATTTTGCTTTGGTTTATCGTTTTCTAAATTTTTTAGATGATTCCAAAGAAGAAGAGGAGGAGGGGACTCCCTGTAATTTACTTTCACCGAAACACCTTCACTTTTATAGGTTTGTGTTGTGAATTCATCCAATTTAATCTTCTGTTTGTACAATTTCAAATAGGGGTGTGATTTAGGGTTCAATACTTGCATAATTTTGGTGAATTTGGATGTGAGTCTCATGTTTTTCTTCCCTCTCTGTGTTTTGCTTTGGCTTTTTTGCTTTCTCAATTTTTTAAATGATTCCCCATGTATCGGTTCAATTCAATTATGTATCGTCCGAGTCTAGCGACTTGTCAAGTTGTTCGATTTGTAACCAAGTCATGACCGAGTCATCTGTGACTTGCTATTTTTTGCGTAACGTATTGGATTAACGAGGGCCAAGTCGTATCGGACTCTGCCAATAAGTTGAACCCTGCGTGGAGCAACCACCTAAGTTTATTGTTCATAGGGAGTAGTGCTAGTGTGTGTCGACCGAGAAGTTTCTCTGTGTTCAAAAACAATTACCTAGAGTTTGGTTTTATTATAATTATTTTTCACGTGGTAATATTTTTATCCAGTTTGTAGAGTGGTGATCAACTCAATGGTATTCTTACCTAACCATTGACATGGTCAACTTTTAATAATCTTTGTTCCAAGCTATGCATGTTTTTTTTATCTTTTTGCATCAGCTTGAGGGGCAATGGTAGAGTGTTACTTTCCTATTTTTCTCCTTTGCTATTATATTCTACAATCCCATTATTGTAATGGTATTCAATATCAAACTAATATTAATAGGTCATGGGATGTAGGTAATACACACCCTACACAGAGTATCATTGTTTCATAATCTCTGTCTTTCAGTCTTCTTCTTCTTTTTGTATTTTTTGACTAATCTACTACCAATTAACTTTTCTGTCGAAATTGGTCCGTGTGTTACATGTGGCCAACCTCACTAGTCTCCTACGCCTGCCTCAACCACCTCACAAACCACTGACTACTCTTGCTGTCTCTCACTCACTCACTCTATCCCTTTAAAAAAAAAACCCCAAAAAAAGATCTTCCCTTCTCTTAGAAGACAATCTCAAAGCCACGGAAGCTTTGGCATGGTCAATCTGTTGGCACCCAGAGGCAAGGGCAAATATTCTAAAGCATTCTGTTACTGAGGCAGCCAAGAATCCTCTTATGGTGTGATATTTGGATCAAAAAGTCATCTTGACTCGTTTAACAGCATGGTAGCAAGAGAATGGTCTGTGGAGGTCAACATTTCTAGGGCTGATGCATAGTGTGATGTCACTATTGGCGTATCATTTTTAATGGGCTATCATTACTATTTAACGAAGGGCTGAATCTGTGTTCTGGACTTAATTTTTGATTGCTTAAAAAGTGCATCTCTGGGAATATATTGTGCGAAAAGCTGATGTTGGATGAGCGCAGATATCTGGTTTATCTTTCTCAGGGGTATGCAGTCAATTTTGACTTTGATTTCTACTTTTCGATTTGAATTGTGTTTGACTTTAATGCTTTTCATTAGGATTTGATGAAATGGGGATTGAATTTGATGTTTTTGGGGGGGGGAGGGGGGCGAATTTAGGGGTTATTGCACAGTGGGGTAGTGTTGCTCAGTGGTGATTTTGGTGGTGGTATGCAGTGCAGTAAGTAGTGGTGACTGGTTGTGGTGGTAGCAGCTATGCGGTCGTGAAATCCCAGGATGGTGTGTGGTGGGATTGGGGGGGTGGTGTGTAGTGTGGTAGATGATTTTGAGGTGAAGAAAAACCAAATGAAGAGGAAGAGAAGAAATGAGGATAGTGAGGGCATAAAAGGCTTTTTATTATTGCCTTTAACTTTGTTAGTCATTCGTTTTAGTCCGAAACCAGATGGCAGTTATGTGGTTATTTTTATACTGCAGGGAGGTGATGTGCGAAAAGGCCAAACCACAAGGGGTTAACAGAAGCTAACCTTAAAATTTTTCTTCCACTTCCATGAAGCCGATGGGTTGAGTTGCCACAAAAATTATATTCTGATATTGTGAATGTCTTTCTTAGAAGTATTTTCCTAGAACATGATTTTGCACTTTTTTCAGTCCACAAAAATAATTTACGTGAATTGTATTGCTTGGGGACTAACTCCAGAAAATTGCTCTGGCAGACAATTCAGACCAAGTCTGCCGCATGGTTTCTGAGTGATTACTGCATTTACATTTTGTTTGCAATTGCTACTTTAAATTGGTACCATAACATTTGGTGTTCATTAGTGTTTGGGCTGATGTGAAGTTGCTCAATTCCGTAACACCCATTTTAATATGCTCCATAACAATTTGATCATATTCTTCCATTGTTTGGGAAGTGTCCTTCAACTGAGTTTGTGCCTAAAAATTTTGTGCAGATATGCAATGACAGGACAGTTGACTCAGAAGAGTGATGTGTATAGCTTCGGGGTTGTTCTGTTAGAGCTTTTGACTGGAAGGAAACCTGTGGATCATAACATGCCTCGTGGACAGCAGAGTCTTGTCACTTGGGTGAGCCTTTTGTTAATCTTAATATTATGAGCATCCTTTTATTGTTCTTTTCTTTTTTTGAAATCTTATTCATATTTTTTGTGGGGTATCCAGCTGTTTATTGTCTGAAATGCTCGATAGTATGATGAACTTATTTCATTTTTTTTAAAACCTGCATAGGCTACTCCCAGACTGAGCGAAGACAAAGTTAAACAATGCGTAGATCCAAAGCTTAAAGGAGAGTATCCTCCAAAAGGAGTGGCAAAGGTCTCTCTCTCTCTCTCTCTCTCTCTCTCTCACACACACACACACACACACTCTCACATGCACCCACCTAAACATGCATACGCATATACAAATAAACATACACTTGCTGCCATAGAAGTTGTAGCTAAGCAGCAGTTATCTTTTGATTATGCAGCTGGCGGCTGTGGCAGCATTATGCGTGCAGTATGAGGCTGAGTTCCGGCCTAATATGAGCATAGTTGTGAAGGCTCTCCAGCCACTTCTGAGGCCACCTGCTCCAACTCCCGAAACTTAGGACAATTAAACTCAGTTGCCTTGTGTTGGAATTGCACTATTTGAATTGTCTGGTCTCGTTGACGGGTTTCATAGGTCGATCTATAACATAAATTTTTTTCCATGTTTTCCATTTTTTACTTGATGTGAAGGATTAGGTTGGCCTCTTTCTCCGTTTTGTCAACTCGATTGTTGATATTGCACTGTGATGCTATAACCTTTTAAATCAAAAATGAAGAGACTGAATTGGTTGGTGACCAATGGATCTTTGGTTCAATGATACTCTTTATTTTGTGAAAGTTTTACCTTCTTAGGGTCAAGAGTTTAAATCTCCTCCCCCCTCTCTCTCCCAAAAAAAAAAAGAATATTTTTGTCTAGAGTATCTGTTATTTGTCTGATTCTTGGTCTAAGTGTTACACAATGGACTTGATATTGACTTGATGAAGCTAGGCTGCGTTGGAGTTCTTAATTCACAATTCTTCTGGAGCTCAATATTTTTCATCTTTCAATTTGGGAGTTTGGCCTCTTAAAAGGCTTGTGAATTATTTCCTGTCCACATTGACACAATGACTCCCATACTTCGATCTAAGTCTGTGGAACAAACCCATGATTTACCAAAAAGCTCGCATGATCGGATGAGGAACTACCAACAACCACAAAATCATATGATGTACTTAGTTGCAGAGCATTGCACCAAGCCTTAAGGTAAGTAGCACTAACCTTGTTTCATAGACTACCACCAAGGTCAATTAGCTCATTCTCTTAGCTTGGTAAGCTTTTCATGAACAAATTCATTAGCACCCAGAGACTTAAGATAGGACCAAATTACCTCAGGACCTTTAAACAAAAGAAAGGAATCCATCTCCCAATGCAATTCCAAGCTTGCCATGACTGCCCTTAATAAGAAGTCAGAGTTGCCCGCCAACCTGAGGACAAGCTTCCAGAAAGAGACCCCCTATTCTCCTAGCCATCGATACTGCCATTTCACATCTTTGAACACGTCTCTAGGTCATGTGTTGAATCAGATTCAAGCTACAGAGAAACTCAGATGGCCAAAGAAGCTCAAAGGAAATCGTAAGAAGCGTGATCAGACGAAGTTTTGTGCCTTCCACTAAAGCAGAGGCCATCTGTTAGATGATTGTCGAGAACTCCGTCACAAGATTTGAATGACTCATTCGCAACGGTCAGCTTCAAGAGTTTGTGTAGAGCCGAACCAAACTCAACCAAGAAGGTCTCTAGAGCCTCAACCACATGGTGACCACCAAAAAACTAGAGGGACTGTCAACTAATGGCGCTCCAACCATCACATCATAGTTAAACTTGCTTTGCTGCATTTTCCTTTTGTGTTCTAATGGACCCCACTATATCAAGTATGTTTTGAAAGAAGCTAATAAACACCCGTTTTCCTAACTTTCTTTTTTTTTAATGGTCAATAGTAGAACCAGTCCATGGTCCCATCCTGCGATTGGCCTCCACAACTGTATTTAATTAGGTCATTATTCTACCTAATGCATAGTCTAAGCTCCACGCTTGTCGACCCCCATTTTCGGGGAATTATGCCTTCAAGCTCCGCACTTGTTAAGTAAATATTGAATATGATACCATGTCATTATAATAAAATTTTAAGTGGGTACGGTGAACTCTTGGACTTACATGAAAGAAGAGTGAAAGTTATTTGCTTACATGACAAATTAATTATTAATTTATTTACTTTTTTGTTTTAATATTATTAATAGGTGATACCACATTATATTGCCATGTAGTAGCATCATTGTAATGAATATTTTCTCCACTTGTTGACTCCCAAAATTATCTCCAAGAGTTGTGTTTGTCGGGCCCCACTTTGGTGATTATGCCTTAGGAAAAATTTTGTAATTGGCGAATTCCATAATATCATTATTTGATCTTGTATCTCAACTAAATTCATGGTCAAGAGGCTATTGAAGATTGAAGACCGAAGCAATATATGGTGAAGAAACTCAAGCTACAAAGTAATAAATTGAATACTTCTTAGATCCTATCAAGCTAAGGTGATATAAAATGACCAAGATACCTAGTTGCCCCAATTTGATTTAACGTAGGTTGATAAATTAGATTTATAGTGTGAGTACTTGATCTGCTCATGACTCATGAGATTTTGTTGCAAAAATATTTTTAGAACTTCAGGGTTTTAGTTTTTGAAAATGAGTCATTGGACAGAGATTTTTTAGATACCACCCCTTGGTATTTGGAAAGTTGATTTAGAGCTTTGGTTTTTCAGGAAAAATAGTGGATAACGCTTTTAAAGCGCTCTCAGGATTTAGGAAATTGGATTGTGCTTGTCATCAAAAGTAGGTAGATAATAAAATGGTTGCCAAGCACAAGAATATATTGTATAATAACTTGGTCAATTACTAAGATCGTCTGGTCAGGGAAACGAAGGACAAATTTGAATGGTGATGAAATAAAAATGAAATAAAAATCTTTTTGATTTTTGGAAAAGTGAATATTTGATTGAAAAAATTAAAAGACAATATTAAAAAGAATCGAATAATCATCAAAAGTTTAACTCACCGTGAATAATAATTTTGAACTAATTTATAACTCATTCAAGTTTGTAATCAAATGCCCTTGAACAGATGATATTTAACTTAAAATCAAGAAAACAACTAATGTGTATTTAAATTGATTGAATTAATTTAGAAAGAATTACATTCACGTTGATTGTGGTGATTCTAAGAATTACCTGTACCAAGTCTAAGTTGTCTACAGATAAGGAAGAAGATATACATATCACATGTATTTTCAACTTTAATTATTCAATCAACAAAATAACTTTAATCTTTGGAAAAACCCTAGTTAGTTCAAAATCTCCATTCACGGATGAAAATCCCTCATCCGATCCAACTGGAATTAAACTACTCAAACATAATGAAAGTAAAATTAAAAACAATAAAAGAAGACATAATAAATTAAAGCAAACGAAAGATTGAATATAAACTTGAATTAAAGACTTTGTATTGAAATAAGAATTGCAAAGCAATTACAAATAAAGAAGTAAAATACTGTAATCATTTAGCATAATAGAAAATAATAAAGACTTGTGCTTGCAAACTAAAACTAAATAAAGAACAATGAAGAAGAATGAGGATGAGGAGCAGCCCCCCTTGGAGAACGTCCAAGAAGGAAAATCGGTGTCTCTAATAGTCCCCTGTGGTTGGTATATATAGGAAGAACAAGGAGAGAGAGAGAGAGAGAGAGAAATAGAGATACAATTGATTTTCTAGAGATCATCTTTCCTTTTACATCTATCTCTTATTCCTAGAGAATCTCCGAAAATGTCTCCAAGAATATCTCTAAGATTTTGCTAGTCAAAACCTCTTCCCTATTTAATCTCTTTCTCCTTCAAATAAGCCTTGAAAATCTTGGAAGATATCTTTGAAGATTTAGTCAATCAATAGCCGAAAAGAGCAGTCATAGTTGAATTATAACATTAATGAACCGGTAAGAAGCACAATTCGACCTACCAGTAGAATTGCTCTTTATTTTTTGCAGTAACTGATTGCTCTTCTCAATTACTAGTAGAACAACATCCTGTTTTCAACCTACCAGTAGAATAGTACCAACCTACCCATAGAATAGGTCTCTATTTTCTTTCTACTGGTAGGAATAAACTGCTACTGGTAGAACCTCATTATGCTCACTATTGAATCGGTAGAAGACCTACCAGTGCCTTTTTCTAAATTCTTACTACAATGCTCCTGATTCCATCCCTGACTCATCCAGTTTACTTCTGAAATTCTCCAAGGCATCAAAATGAATGTAAAACCTTGCCTTTACATCAATTTCCCTACAAACACCAAAATTCCATGTAAAACACAAAACTAAACTAAAACTAAACATATAACTAATAAACAAAGCTAAGATGAATGGTTTGAGATATAAAATAATGCGATATTATGCATTCATCAGACTAGGCATGAAAATACAATTCTAGAGACCAGCACTTACTATAGTGCTTGAGCATTACCCAAAAATTGGCTAGATGTTTCTCTTTCTAGTAGCCAGCTTTCTCTACCACTCTCCACAAGGCTCGAGCTCTGTGTCATGGACAAAATTACTTGCACGCCATTCTTTCTTTTTTTTTTCGTATTCCTATCAATAGATGATGACTCCTATGACCTAAGAGCTATCCAAGAAGATTAAACAGAGACTTTAGGGTTTAAGAGAGGCTACCAAGTCAAGAGAGAACTACCCTTGGCAAGATCAAAACACGATCTATTCAGGATCAACATCCAATTCCATAAGAATTTGATCGTATATAATTGAAGATCTTGAAAACCTACCAACACAAAGGATCTAGGGAGGGAAACCAAGGATCAGAAGGATGATTCCAAAAAAGAGAAGAATGAGGATTCCAAGGACAGATCGTAGAACTTGATTTGTGGCCTTTGAAGCTAGTTGTCAAGATGTTTACGGTGGATTTCCAAAGTGAAGATTTGAGGGAGGAAGCTTCTAGTCATATAATTGATTGAGATATAAGACTTTAAACTTGTAATTTAAGTTTGGTGGATTAGGTTAGGTGGACCAAAGAGGGTCTCGTGATTTTTTTTGAGAGGGTTTCCAATTTAAAATTACTTATGTTGTGTGATTGTCATCTTTTACATACCTATATTTTTTTATTCCTACTATGTGTTTGATTGAATGACTATGAGAATCCATCTTGTGTTGTTGGCCATTCAAATTGCATAAATCTTTGTCAATTGGTGGAAGTGATTTGGAGAGATAAGGTTGGTGGATTGTGTTGCATTGAATCACATTAATTTAACTGGGCACACATATTTAGTAATTAGGTCAAAAGTCTTGGTCACAAAGGGGCTAATTCTTTGTTTAATTTGTAATTGTGTGAGTGAGGTTTTATTTGGGCATAATTGCATGTTTGAATGCATAAGACCTATTCACCCTCTTCTAGGCCACACATGTATGTTTCAACGTTCAAGGTCGATCTTATATTTAGCACTCCCAGACCTTCGAGGTTTGCGCTTGTCAACTCCCATTTATGGGGATTATTCTTCTAAGCTCAATTTTTGTCGAGCACCAATTTTGGGGACTGTGCTTCCAAGCCTTGTACTCTTCAAGAAAAACAAAGAAAAAATTCTGCGAGAAATATAAAGCGTGAAAAAACTAGACGGGGGACAACTAATGGACGAAAATCCTGACACTTCTGCTTATCTGGCTTTACTCTGCTCATCAAACTTGACTCTTCTCATCTTGTTCAACTCGGCCTATCCAATCAAATCAGCTTTGCTCATCTATTCCAGCTCGATGCAATAGCTCAGCTCATTTAGCTCAAATCGGCCCAACTTGTCTCAGCTCAACTCATCTTGTTTAGTCCAGTCATACCCGCTGAAAGAGATCCAAATTTGGATAAAAATAGATATCTACAAATTTTGGAAGAGTTAAGGTCAAATATAATAGATAAGAACAAATCAACAATAAGAAAAGAATTTGACCTCCATCTCCATCTGGTCATAACTAACAAGAAGACCTCTATAAAAAGGACAAGAGAATGGCTTAACATATATGCCATTAAATTATCAAATATTCAACACTTCTTTGAATCCATTCTAATTTAATAATTGGAGGGTCAACCACCAAAGATCCTTCGGACTTCAACTTACTTTCCAGGTGATCGAAAACAAATCTTGTCGAGTGTGGGAGGACCAAAATTTTGCATCAACGTTGTAGTTTGACATTCAAATCTGACCTTTATTTTACTTTATGTATTAGAAATTTTAGTAGAATGGATAAGCATTTACATTGACTAGTTAGACAACGAAGAGATTCTTGTTTCATGTAACTATTCATTCTTTTTTATCTAAGTCTGTAGATCACTATTATAATTAATATTCAACTATTACAACTCATAACAATGCAACAATAGTAAAAAGGAGAAAAAAAACCCACAAAAAGATAAAATTAGTTTGAAAACAGGGCACAATAGAATTCTCAAAGAGAGGGTTGAGAAATTAGTTATTTTCGTTTGCAAGAATTGGTTGCTTGATTTCTTAGTTGAGAGAATTTTAAGAGAATCAATGATGACCAACTAGACTATACCTAATTGGTTAAGATTCACTATTGTTTGCATAGATCGTTATTAGAGGGTCAGCTACCCTTGGTTTCTATAGCTTTTAGAAAAAGATGGTGGACAAGAACTTTTAGAGGAGAAATCTACGAAGGAAATAAGCATCTAACCATGGCATTGGTTGAGGGACTAAGGCTCAAGTACTTGTAGATTGACTTTGTGAGTAGTGGATTAGATTTTAGTGAACCTTGAATGGTTTCCCGTGATTTTTTCCAAGTATG